ATTTGACCATAAAATACTGGCCTGGGGCTCAGAATGCTAATGCAGACGCACTGTCCCGCCTACATGGAACTGTAATGGAATTGGATAGTCCGTTATCTAATGATATTGGAGTGCAGTGTGAGATGATTCCCAGTGTTCAGGCAGAGATAAGTGTTTTACCTGGTTGTTCTTTCTCTGATCTCTCTAGGTTACAGAAACAAGACCCTGTGATTGGTCCTTTCTTAAAGTATTGGGAGGTGGCCAGGTTGCCAGATTCAAAGGAAAGAGATGGTCTTGGTAAGGGTTCGAGGGAATTGGTCCGTCAATGGGGGCGGATGAAACAAAGGGAGTCTGTGTTGTATCGCTGCACTCATACTCCTGATGGAGTGAGGGAGGTTGACCAGCTGGTGTTGCCGCAGTGTTTATAGAGCCGCGTCCTTCGTTTACTCCACGATGAGCATGGCCATCAAGGGGTTGAGCGTACACTGCAGTTGGTGCGCTCGCGATATTATTGGCCGCACATGTATGCAGATATTGAGAGATGGTGCAGAGATTGTGAAAGGTGTGTTCTTTCTAAGGCCGTTGTGCCAAAGATTAAAACCTTTATGGGTAGTATTTCTGCATCTCGGCCTCATGAAATTTTGGCAATTGATTTTACAGTACTTGAACCCTCAACTGATGGTAAAGACAATATTTTGGTAATGACTGACATCTTTTCTAAATATACTCAGACTGTCCCTACGAAAGATCAGCGAGCCAGTACAGTGGCAGAGGCTTTAGTGAAGCATTGGTTTCATTTATTTGGGCCTCCAAGTCGTATACATTCTGATCAGGGGCGAAATTTTGAAAGTGCTTTGGTGCAACAGCTGTGTAAGATTTATAAGATAGAGAAGAGTCGGACGACACCCTATCATCTACAAGGTAATGGTCAATGTGAACGATTTAATCGTACACTTCATGACTTGCTGCGTGCCCTGCCTCCTGAACAAAAGCGCCGGTGGCCCCGGCATCTCTCCCAAGTCACATATGCGTATAACACCACAGTACATCAGTCAACTGGTATGACTCCATATTATTTGATGTTCGGGCAAGAGCCACGGTTGCCAGTGGATTTTTGGTTGGGTGCTGGCAGTGAAGTTGATGAGGATGTCACTCTTGAAGAGTGGGTACAGGAACACCAAAAGTCCTTGGCTGCTGCATATGATGTTGTGCAGCAACGGTTAGAAAGGAGAAGGGTTCAGAGAGATTTGAATTCCTCTAAATGTGCTAGTCCTGATTTGGAGCAGGGCGATTTGGTGTATATGAGAAACCACTCTGTAAGAGGTCGCAATAAGATTCAAGATTTTTGGGATCCCACGCCCTTTCAAGTAGTGCGACCTCCTCCTGGTCATGGCGTAGTATATTCAGTCGCTCCTGCTGGGCACACTGGTCCACTTCGACAAGTACATCGAACTGAGTTGAGAAACATTCCAATCAGGGAATTGGATGGAGACCAAGATAGTGGCCTACAAATGTCAAAACAGGATGATCTAACTGGAATGCTGGCCACAAATAACAGTATGGTTGATGAAGTGGAACAAATGTTTACAGAACAGGGAGATGGAGGCGATTCTGCAGTGTTGAAGGAAGGGATGTTGAGTCCCACACATGTGGGGGTGCCCCATTTGGATTGTTCTGGGGACCTAGAACCTGGGGAGGAAGATGTTGCCAGCTTGGCGCAAGGGTCTCGTAGGTCAATGAGGAAGACTGCTGGACAGCACTGAAACCCATTTAGATTGCCACAATCCATTATAAAATGAGCAAAATTTTAAGTGTGCTCTTTTCAGCTCATCGTCGGGTCGCCGATGCCCTTTGTAGGGGAGGGTTGTAACAAGTGTCACCTGGCAGTTTGTTGCTCTCTGCCAGGTGATTGGCTGAAGAGCTGTGAAAAGGTAGTGGGTGTGTTGGGTGAAGTCAGCGCTCTTCTGTGGAAAAAACCAGAGGCAATTAATTCACTCGGGTGCGAGTGGGTATACTATCGGTAAGAGACCTTTGCCATTTTTGTTTGGATCATTTGCTATTGTATGTGCCTATTTTTAACGTGTCATTGGACTTTTTTAGTGTGGCCACGAATTTTAATAGAAGAATTGATCAAGCCCTAGATCGACTGTGCGCAGGGAAACTGATTAATATTGTAGGTATATTGAGTGTTTGTTTTAGCTTCATGATTTTGAATGGTTTCATAAAATTGATATTTTATTGGGTAATATTTTAATTGATAATGTTGTTTGTTTTTCAGCTGTGCTGTCTCTGCTGTCCTTTTTTCGTTCTTTTGATTGATTTGTAATTTTGTTTTGGTTAGTCCGTCCAGCTGTAAAGGCGGTTATTGATTGAGAGTAAGTTGTGTAAGGGCGGACTAACCTCCCTTTTTGTTTTTTGTTTAATTGTTTGTGCCACTTCCCTTTATCTCCCAGATCGCAGGCCATGCATAGCACTGATTCCCAGCTGCGCTGAGACCCGAATTGTTTGCAGTGTGTGCCACGATTGCAGTGTTGCTAAGCAGGGTGTGACGGGTTGCAGTGTTGTTATTTTCGCACAGTTTGTGTGGTAAGTCTCATGTGCAGCTGGGATATCAGCAGGATGTGTTGTAAGTCCTGTCTGGAAATAACTAGGAATTTGTATGTCTAACTAATGTAATAAATAAATGATCAATTTATTTCTTTGCCCCGTTTACTCATACCTTGTCCTCGGTTACACTAAGAGAAGCCACAAAATCAGTTTGAATAAGAGTAAACATTTACTCACCAAGTCAGTGTATCAGGTAAAGATTCACAGCAATGACAACAATAACATCTTGAGCTGACGCTTCTCCAGGTTTGCTCAACATATTCCATAACAAATGCTGGCACCATGAACATGCGGACTGATCCAAGAGGGAGGAGGACGGTAGTCACGTGGCATTTTCAAAACACATCTTTCATCCTTCCACACTGAGAAGCAAAACTTCCATCTTACTTAGTTTTTCTAAGTTAAGACAACTCAAATAAATTGAGTTTATCAGCGTGTTTGCATAAAAAGTACTTATTTAAATCGAGTTCTAATAACAAATTGATAAAAACTGAGTTCAGCCTATTTAATATTTTTAATTAAACACAATATTACATTTTACAGTGCATGATGCCCAGCTGGAAACACTTCAGCTACCCGAGATTCACAGAATTTACAGAAAATGTTACATTTTTGTGATTTATATCGTTATCGGACGATAGATGTTTTATATCGGGATATGAGATTTTAGTCATATCGCACAGCCCTACTCTGAGGGGGGTTAGTGAAGTGGCAGTTGCCCACTCTGCCGCCCTCACCACCTGCTGCAGTTTTCTCTTGTCCTCCACATTTTTATTTTTTTAATTTGCCAAAGATTTCTGACAAATATTTTGTACATTGCTGGTATTACAGTTAATAAAACTCATACACTTGAGGTATTATAGTGAATATTCAATGTAGAAAATGATTCACCTTGAATCACCTCCCCTCCAGCAGCCCAGAAAAAGCAGTCCTGCATCCAGTTTTGCTGTCTTGATGTCTCTCATATTCTTCTATCACCATCTCTTTTAAGTTGCAGACATGACAGTCCAACGACAGGCCACCCTGTTTTATGTGAAGCATGAAGCCAGTGATAACAAGTAATAACAAGTTGATAACTGGGGATTTTAACCTGAACCTGCTTCATGGTGCAGCTCTCAAGTCTCTCTTGAAAACGTGTTTAACATCAGTGAGACCTTTACTCAACTATTACCCAATAAGCTCCTCTAAATTAAGAAATTCGTTTCCTTGCTCACCCCATTAGTATACACGTACTCTATGATACCTGTGTTCAGAGATGGGCAGTAACGCGTTACTTGTAACGCGTTACTGTAATCCGATTACTTTTTTCAAGTAACGAGTAAAGTAAGGGATTACTATTGCAAAA